CCGCGTATATTTATTATTCATTGAAATATTTGATAAAAAAAATAATGAAAAATGTTTTTAAAGACGACTTTTTCATAAGTCAATTTTTCTTGATTTACGACTGAGATATCGATGGCTTTTTTAACAAAAATTTATCAATATTTGTGTATAATATTGAAAAAATGAGTATTCAAACAACTATACATACTTAGATCTTTAAAATTTGACTTTGATGTATTTAAAAAAATAATTTTATTTTATATAATTACATGTTCAAGTACTGCTGCCACATTTGTGTCTAGTACGTAGTAAGTGAACAGCTGACCGATAGGTGTTCACGTATCGGGTCGTGGGTGCAGACAGGCAGTAGTACTTGAACCATAAGATTTACTTACTTATGTTTTGAAAACAATGCAAAATTGGCTTAAAAGTAAGTAAAAACTTATCGAACTACCATTCAAACCAAGTGAGGTATCAAAATATGACAGTTTATTAAGCTAAAAGTGCAGGTAGGGAAGCTTCTCAAAACGGCTCAGACATGTGTGGTTAACCTCAAGTATAACCATTCCAGTATTAAGATTGAGTAAGTCTTTACCTTATTATTGTTTTTATTGTTCATTTATACATATTTAAAGACTATTGAGTAAAGTTTGAAGAATATTAGTATAGTTTAAAAATATAATTGTTATTTCAGTTTTCAAATAAAGCCAGTGGTTGGATCAAAATGAAAAAATCAAGCAATAAGAAGCAAAAAAAGAAAGTTAAAAAGGTAATTTTAAATAAAAGAAAAAGTAATCACAATTACACCATTGACACACTTAAAGAAGCACTGAAAGAAGTTGAAGCTGGAAAAGGGATCAATTTGACTGCAGCTAAATTTGGTATACCCAAGTCAACTTTAAGTTGCAAGTATAATAAGAAACTCCCCATTGAGTGCACAAAAGGACCACAAGCTGTTTTAACAAAAAATGAGGAAGATGTAATTGTAAAATGGATTTTAGAAAGTTTTGAAAGAGGATTTCCTGTCACAAAGACAATGTTACTGGATCATGTACAAAAATATGTCATCAAGGAAGGAAAAAAAACTCCTTTTAAAAACTCTCGACCAGGAAAACATTTGTATGGAGCTTTTCTTCGGAGGCACCCAATGTTGTCAACGAGAGTAGCTCAAAACCTTACCACAACTCGAGCAGCTGTCACTGAAAAAGACCTAAGAAAATGGTTTTCTAACGTTAAGAGTAGTTTAGAAAAGAAAAATTTGTTAAATATTGAGTCTAATCGTATCTTTAACTTGGACGAATCCGCATTTAAATTAGTGCCAAATGTTGACAAAGTCATGGCTGCTAAGGGAGCAAGAAATGTGTATCAAATAGTGAGTGCTAATGAAAAAGCCTGGGTAACGGTATTGTTTACTGCTTCTGCAAGTGGTCAGTTAGCTCCTTCACTCATTCTATTTGAACTGAAAAAGACACCTAGCAGACAAATTCTGTCATACATTCCAAAAGGATGGGGTGTTGGGCACACAGAAGGAGTGGAGACAGTTTTTATAGCTATATAAAAAATATTTTTCATGAGTGGCTTCTTATAAAACAAATTGAATTTCCAGTAATTTTGTATGTCGATAACCGCGCTTCACATGTCAATCTACAACTTCTACAATTTTGCCAAGAAAAAAAAATTGAGCTGATAGCTTTACATCCAAATGCTACTCATATTTACCAACCCCTAGACGTAGCATTTTTTCACCCACTTAAAGAAGCATACAAGGCAGCAGTCGATAACTATAAATTGGAAAAAAATATAATTGATTTAAAAAAGTATATGGTTCCTGCTATCCTGCAAGAAGCTATAGAATCTAGAAATTTTTAAGAAGGAATAAAGAGTGGTTTTAAATCCAGTGGCTTATTCCCTTTCAATGCAAATGCTTTGAGTTATGATGTGCTAAATAAGACACCGTAAAGAAAAAATTCTTCGATGAATACAGAAAATACAACATGTTTATCAAACACAGATGAATTAAATTTCTTAAATTACTTTGAAAATAATTGTATTTCTGCAAGTACCTTGGAGATTTTTAAGGCAAACGAAAGGGAACCATTATGGACTGGAGATCCAACTCTCACAGCTCTGTTTGAAACCTGGCAGAAGATGCGAAGACAATGTGGTACTTTCATATACATCTAAAAAATTTATCTTTCCAAATTGAACTAAAATCAATTTTAATTATTATCCTATTTATTTAACTTATATTATTTTCAATATTAATTTTTTATATTTACAATGTTACATAATTTGATGAAATTTTTTTTATTAATCTTGATTCTTTTAAATTGTTAAAATCTCAATATTTGTACAATTTATTTTACTTTTTTTACTCATGGATAAACTTACATTACGAATTATTTAAAATATATGTGTGTACTCATAATTTAAATAGAAAATGGAAAAAAATCTAATCATATCCATGAAAGTATCGTTGATCCATCTGATACTCTGAATGATAGAGCTGTAGTTACTGAGTCTCCTGAGAACAATTTTATTATTGCTGGTAAATACATGTTGCAAGAGTCTGAGAAGGAAGTGCATGTCACAGATGATTTTCAGGATTGTATCTTTTTACATAATCTAAATAGTAATGACTCTGGCATCTACACTGACGTGGAGTTAGCTAATCAAGCTGAAATTACAAATGAATTGGGCGAAACTGAATTAGTACCAATCATACAAGGAGATGAATATTTTCAAACTTCTCAGTCAGCAAATAGTAAGTTTATGAAATCATAATTTTTTAATCAAATTATTTTTATTCTTGTAAGTATATGAAGTTTTTTTAACAGACATGAGTTCATCGGAAGGATCTAGTTTCAATCTTGTTCCTGTTCAATCTGAAAATAACGTTGTCAATGACAATAATTTACCTACAAATTGTCAACAAGAAAATTAAATGGCAGAGTCATCAAACGTTAATGTAAATATTTCCAAGCCAATATCAACTGAGCTTCAAAATTTTGTTTTAGAAGGCGAAAGTAAGGGAAATTACTTTAATAACATTTGAAACGTGTTTTTCAAAAGGATTTTGATAAAACATAAATATTGTTCTTGCAGTTCTAGATCTATCTAATAACAAAAAATCAGTAGTGAATAAGTATAATTCAAACATTAATACTGACTTTGTTCAACCCACAATAACAGAAAATAATAAAATTATTGAAAGTTACAAAGTGGCAGAAGTTAACAAACATCAAATTAGAAAAGACACTAAAACGGTCGATGTGCCACAGTTGTCTGACCAAAACTTATCATCACAAGATAAAATTATCCAAAGTAAGGGTAAAATATAACAATTAAATACCTATTATTAATTACATGTTCAAGTACTGCTGCCACATTTGTTTATTTTTATTTAAAACAAAATTTACGGATAATTTAAATCAAGTGTTTAAAGTAAAAAATTATACCTTAAAAAATAAAAATAAAAATGGTGTACTTAAAGGTAAATGTGCTTATACTATTGATGAATTGCTTGAAAAAGCAAAAAAAAAGGAAGAAGATAAAAAACTAAAAGAAATTGAAGTACAAATGAATAAAGAGAAAAAGGAAAAATGTAGGATGCTGAAAGAAGTAGAATCAAATATTTAAAAAACTAACAGAGCAAAGATAAACCAATTATCAAAGCTCTGAATTTAAGAGATTTGCGGTAAATAGATAAGCTCGATGCGCAAATTTTTTTTAAATTTTCTTATTTATTTACTATCTTTTTTTTCGTTATGTGGTATGGTATTCCTATGGTACTCCAGTCACCAAGAGCTTTGTGTTTGTTTTTGGGTGATAGAATTTTTTATGAATTTAAAACTAATTTCTTTTTAGTAAAATCTTCTGCTTCAAAGAGCTGTGCTACGTTATTGCACTTCACGTGCTAAATCTTGAGTTCATTTATTGTTTTATTCTTTTTTTTTTCGTTAATTGGCTGGAGAACTTTCTGAAAAAAAAAATGTTTAATCCTGTTGTATCTGATGTATATTTTTAAAAATTATAGGATATTTCTGAATGAACGTATTTGTTGCTTGTAAATTGTTTTGTAGTGTATGTGTATGAACGAACGTGTACGAGCGAACGACCTGAGCGCCGCGACGCCAAGCTCAGATAATAGAAACATATGTACCTACATTACAGTTGTAATAAACGTCAGTTACTTCCAAACAGTAGTCGGGTTCACTTATACCTCTTTCTAAACTGAATAGTGGCGACGAGGATAAAAGTAAAAGTATATAGATGGTAAACTTGTAAACGGTTAATAAAGGATACTAGATTAAAGTAAACGGTAAAAAGTATACGTATTAAAGACACAGCAAGAAATAATTGGAAATTTAATGAGCGGGGTAACGGGAATAAGATTGATTCAAGACTCGAATAAAGAGGAAATTACAAAAGTGTGTGTTGCGAATGAACTTCAAGTGAGTGATTCGGAAAATTTAAACGATCTGAGAATTGAACTGAGAGAATGGGTCAAAAGAAAATTTAACGAAGGAAAAGGGAACCGGGTGATTATTTTGGAAGATATCGAATCCGAAAGTGAACCAAACGAAAAGAAGAAACATACGATGGAAATAGCAGCGCAACTGGATTTTGATGTAAAAAAAAACGATTGGGAAAAATTCATTGATAGGTTGGAGCAGTGCTTTATGGCCAACGATATAGTGGATAAAAAGAAAATGAGAGCAATCTTGTTGAGTAAAGTAAACGCGGATACTTACGATTTAATCGATCGAATTTGCAAGCCCGAGAAACCTCGCGAAAAAAAATATGAGGATATCGTCAAGCTTGTAAAAAATCATTTGAAACCAGAAGCATCATATTAAGTACATCGAGCAAAATTTCGTCAGCGCTTGCAGTTGGAAAATGAATCAATCACCGAGTATGTGGCCATACTAAAAAATCTGAGCAAAGATTGTAAATTAACGCAATTGGAAGAGCAAATTTTGGATTAATTAATAACAGGACTGCGAAGTAAGGATATAAAAATGGAGCTGCTCAAAATGGAAAATCCAACGATGGCGACCGCAGTGAAGAAAGCGTTAGCATGCGAAGCAGCACATGTAGGAGCAGAAAAATTACAACGCAAGGAAAATTCCGTAGCTCAAGGTGAAAAACATAAGGTAAATATTCAATCTAAAGGAAACAGCAACAGAGGCAGAAATAACAGGGGGAGAGGCAGAGGTAATCAAGGCCGACCAACGGACCAATCAATGACACCAGGGGCAGGAGCATCGCAACGAGGCGGACACCAAACAGCGGTGAAAACAGGTGACGCAACAAAAATTTGCTATTGTTGTGGAAAAGCGAATCACTTTGCGCGAGAATGTCGGTATCGACAGCACACTTGTAATATTTGTAAACGTCGCGGGCATTCAAGTACAGTGTGTTTTGAGAGATCAAGAGTGTCTGATGCGAATGAGAGAAAGAATACGAGAGTTAGTTACGTAGATTCCGCGAACAAAGACAGCGATACAGATAGTTTGACACGTGAAATAACTCATATGTTTCCCAAAAATAGAGTAAGCGAAATTTATTATTTAAGGTCGTATGTGCGGGGAAGTACACGAGTAGATGCTCAGTTTATAACAGTAAAGATAAATGACGTTAAAATTCCTATGTAAGTTGATTCGGGTGCTGCGATTTCAATCTTGCCGTTAAAGTACAAAAATTGATTTTTCCACGATATTGAAATGAATGAGTCAGACATTACGTTGCTTAATCACGATGGATCCGTATATAAGCCAGCAGGTATGCTACGACAAATTGAAATCGAAGCGTCTGTATCTGCTGATGTTTACATCACAAATGCGAACGAGCCAGCAATAGTCGGTCGAACGTAGTTCAAAGCATTTAATTCGTGGCCTCTATTTCACGATTTAAAACATCAAACGATCGAACCAAAGGTTGTAGCGAACGAGAAATTGAAAAGTATAATAAAGAAACATGAAGCGGTATTTACGGGCCAGGGAAAATTTACAAAAGGCGAAGTAAAATTAGAATTAAAAGAAGAGGCCAAGCCAAAATATTTGCTTGCATGATTGGTACCATTTGCGTTAAAAGAGCGAATTGAAAATGAATCAAAGGGATTAGAAAGTCAAGGAATAATCATAGCGATTGAGCACTCTGAGCGGGCTACTCCAATAGTACCAGTGCTTAAACCAGATGGCAGTATACGTATGTGTGCTGATTTTAAAGTCACTTTAAACCCGCAAGTAATCACGGTAAGACACCTGGCGCCTAATTTTGAACATGCAGTTACACAGTTACAAGCTGGGGTTAAATATTAAAAGTTAGATCTAAAAGAAGCATATTTACAGATGCCGGTCGAAGAGAAGTCTCAGATGTTGCTTACTATTAACACACACATGGGATTATTCAAATACAAGTACATGCCATTTGGAATAAGTTCAGCCCCGGAAATTTTTCAATTACGTATGGAGGAAATTTTAAAGGGAATTCCCGGAGTAGCGATAGTAGTAGACGATGTGGTTGTGACGGGTAAAACTACAGATAAGCATTTGACAAATTTAGATAGAGTTTTAGGAAAATTAAATGAATGTGGACTTAAAGTACGTGTGGAAAAATGCAAATTTTTTGAAGATAAGATTACGTATTTAGGTTACGAAATTAGCGGTAACGAAATAAAAGTCGATCCATATGAATATCAAGCGATTAATGAAATGAGTAGACCTAAGGATCATGAAGATTTACAATTGCTTTTGGGTAAAATTAATTATTATGGAAGGTTAATAAATAAGCGTGCAGAAAAACTTGCAGCGTTATACGAATGTCAGGGAAAGGAAGAATTTGTGTGGAACGAGGCATGCGAAAAAGCATTTGTAAGTATGAAAGAGAGTTTAAAACAAGCCGTTGTTATCTATGATCCTAAATTACATTTAATTTTGACGTGTGATGCATTGCCGCTAGGACTGGCAGCATATTTAAGCCAACCCTATCCGAATGGTGATAAACCAGAAGCGTTTGCGTCAAAACGTTTATCAGAAGCGCAAAAAGGGTACTCGCAAATCGATAAGAAGGCGGCTGCAATAATTTTTGGAACATCGCGATTTTACGATCATGTATATGCACGTAAATTTGTTTTGAGAACCGATAACAGACCGATTTATAGAATTTTTGGACCGGAGAAAGAAATACCGCGAATGGCAGCAAGTCGGTGGCAAAATTGGGCATATTTTTTGTCTAGTTTCAATTATAGTATTGAATGTATACGCACCGAACAAAATGTTGTAGCCAACACTTTATCAAGATTGCCGAGTATTGTGGAGGATAAAAATAATATACCGCAGATTACTTATTTAAATTACGTGGTCCAAAGTGACATTGCTCGTTTTGATTATAAAACTGTGGCTCGCGAGACGAGTAATGATAAAATTTTATTAATTGTAAAGCGTCTAGTGGAAAGCGGATGGCCCGAACGTAAAGTGAATGGATGGCCTGATGAATTAAAAAGTTATGCACAACGTAAGGACGAATTATCAGTTGAGTGAGGGTGCCTTATGTGGGGACAGCGTGTTATTATACCACAAAAAGTTCCAAAGCGTATTGTCGAACAATTACACGAGTGTCACTTTGGCATCGTTAAGATGAAATATCTGGCAAGGTCGGTCGTATGGTGGCCCGGCATCGATAATGAGTTGGAAAACGCAGCAAAGTATTGCCAATATTGTGTTCAGGTAAACGATTCTCCTCGAAAAATGGTGTTGATGCCGTGGCCATGGCCTGACCACCCTTGGCAGAGATTACACGCAGATTTTGCGGGGCCATTTATGGGTCTTACATATTTTTTGCTAGTGGATGTGTATTCAAAGTGGCCAGAAGTATATATCGTAAAAAATATGTCTGCAAATGCGACAATCGATTTATTTAAAAAAATTTTTTCGGTTCACGGACTGACACGTCACGTGGTGACAGATTCAGGATCACAGCTCAAAAGTGAAGAATGCCAGACATATTTTAAAAATTTAGGCATTAAGCAAACCTTTTCTGCGCCAAATTGCCCAGCAACAAATGGCGCTGCAGAGAATTTTGTCAAAACGTTTAAACGTAAAATAAAAGCAACAATGAATAGTACAGGCGTTGATGTACAAACCGCGATTGATAAATTTTTGTTTGGTTATAGAACTACGAAACCTTCAACAACAGGCGAAACACCTGCTAAATTATTATTTAAGCGTGAATTCAGAACTCCTTTACATTTAGTACAACCAGATGTCGAATAATATATTACACATAATCAGGAAAACCAAGTAAAAAATTATGTTGGGAAACGATGCGAAAAATTTAAACAAAACGATTTAGCTATGGCAAAAGACTTCCGTGAAAATTTCGACCCAATGACCAAAGCGGAAGTTGTCAAAGAACTATCTCCAAACAGTTGTTTAATTAATTTTAAAAGGGGAGGAATTCATAAAAGACATGGAAATCAATTGCGTCATTGGCGCGCGAATACAAACGATATACAAAATCAGAACACTGTAATTAGCGAAAATGATAAAATTTGTAACGAGCCAATTAACAGAATTTTAAGGTGATCAAATCGAACTGTAAGACCAGTTCAGCGTTATGAAGCGGAGATATGATTTTATAATTCATCGACACATTTGTTACATAATATTATTAAATGTATTTTCTTTAATAAACAGTTGTAATCACTTAATAAAATAAAAAAGGGTAGGTTGTAGTGCATGTGTATGAACGAACGAGTACGAGCGAACGACCAGAGCGCCGCGACGCAAAGCTTAGATAATAGAAACATATGTACCTGCATTACAGTTGAAATAAAAGTCAGTTACTTCCAAACAGCAGTCGGGTTCACTCATACCTCTTCCTAAACTGAATATGTTTTTTGAATATTCTTTTTTTTTGGATTTCGATTAGGTTATCGAAGATTCACAAAGCTCACATCCAATTGTTAAATCTTACATCTTCATGACTCTATAAAAGTTCATAAAATACAATTTTAATGTTTTACTATCGCACTTAAAGAATAGGGGATTTGTGCTCAGTAAACGTGCTTAATGTGAAAAACTACTTTTTTTTTTTCAAAATTTTTTTCGTTTGGTACTACAGTTTCCAAAAAGTTAATTTTAACTTCACGTAGTTTAACGTGAAAAAATCAAGAGTTTTACTGAGTATTTGAGCTCAACGCATGAGACCCTCTCACATTATGGTTTTTCTATCAGGCAATGCATGTTCAAAAAAATTTGAACTTAATTGGTTTTTTGTGAAATTTACTGTGGAATAAGTATGCGCGGAATAAGCGCAGTTGACGTTTGTTATCATTTCTCAAAAATCAGATCTCTGGTTAAAAATTTTTAGGCCTTGCTATTTGAATTTGGCGCTGTTATGGTAACTGATCACATCTCTGCAGTCAGTAACCATGTCATCTGGCATACTTATTATCACTTACTTCGTCAAAGAGCTCAGCTATACTTAGTTGCCTCTTCACAATGCTTAGGCCCCACCTCCTGAGGCTAAGTCCTCTGTGATTGGAGGAATCAATGATTAAATCAACAATATCTCGTTAATTATCCATCGAATCTGAATTTCGTAAAAAGCTTTTTGAGTGCTTTTCATGAGCTTATCTTGGTGTATAGTTTTTTGGGCTTAAAATTAGAACGCTCTGTATATAACTTGCCCCAAATAACCGTTGAACTAACTGAACAAAAAGAAGAAAATAAGTTAGATAATCAAGCTAAAATTATATAAAAAAAAAAAAATTTTTCTAAAATACTTGGTACTTTAATAGCTTTCTGCCTAACTGTAAGCTACTAGTTTTGTGTATAAAAGTGTGTCAGTGCGTATTTGTGAACCAAGTAAATGCTTAGTGCAACAAAAATGTTCTTTAGCGGTATGACCTCGAACCATATGCAGTCAACGTATTAACCATTCTATGAAAAGTTACTTTTTCGCTTTTTTACTGATCTCATTTATGTTAAAAGTGCTGAAGAAATTAACTAACGATTGAGTTGTAGATATCGTAGTTGTGCCAAAATGGTCAATGGAGATATGGTTTCCATTGACTCCTTATTAATCTCAAAATCAATGTAAATCAATGCCAAACAAAATTTTATTTTTTCTAGCCAAAAATAAAGTTATCTTGTTGGCCAAAATTTTGTCAGCAAAGCATTGGAATTTAGAAGAGCCCGATTACGTTGAACCGATATTACTTGATTACTCAATCATCATACAAACAGTATAAAACATGTCTCAAAAAGTGGTGGCTTTTTTCCAATAAGCAAAATCAAGATTTTACGAGATATTAATTAAACACACACTGGAATTTTTAACAGAAGAAAGTAATACTGGGGCAGCCTCTAAAACAATAAACTGTTATCGTTCGGTAATACCCTTGACAAGAGGGCCTTAGATAGGCAAAGATGAGATAGTAAAGAGATTTTTATAAGGCTTGATAAAACTGCGACTCCCTAAACTTAAGGACGATTAAACGTGGGATCCAAAAATAAGGTTGCATTCTTTAACGTTGGTAGCAAAAAAATGAGGATCTGGATCACCAAAGTTTTTTTTCAAATTAATCTGTTTACTAGCATTAACAACAGATCACAGAACGCGAATATTTTTTATTTATTAAGCTACATAATATTAAGAAGGATAAAAAATACATATATATATAAATTTCAGACCCTATTAAAACCTTAGAGTTAAATAGGAAACAGTTTTCATTAAATAAACTTTATCATACAATAACTAAAACTAAGATATTTTTGTAGCTAAGAAACTAGATTACTACATAAATAAAACTCAGGAATTGTGGGTTAAAACACAATCATCATTTATATCACACTAGCAAAGCATTAAAGCCATCACAGTTCAAACTTTAAGTCAATAGCTTAATGACAGCTTTGAGCTAAGTAGTGTCGATACAAGTATAAGACAGCTCACTCAATGCACCACGCATCAACATCAGCCGCAAAACGAAAAAGAGTTGACATAACACAACATGCATGCGTTGAACATCGACATTTGATCAAGAGGAAGAGGTGCTTAATACAATTAGTTGATTACACGAGCATAAGTGATCAGTCCCACCCATAAAGTTGAGCCCCTTTTTTATTCTCGAAAACCTTTAAATTATAATTGTTACGGCTCATCTTTCAAAAAACAAATATCGCCAGTAAAGCATTGGATACCAGTGATCAGAATAGCGATAGGACTGTCACCTTTTTTCTTATGATTTTAAAGAAAAAGGCTTTATCTGCAGGGGGTGGGTGACTACATTGATAACTTTGGAAAAGGCGCTTCGTACAACTATGATAAGACTTTCCTTACAAGTAAGTTTGTTTATTCAATCAGCTTGATCTTTTTTATTTCCAAGACGTCCATCTCTTTAAAGTGTTTTTTGTCTTTTACATATGTACCTGCCATTTTTATGACTAATTGAGACTAATCATTTTTTAAAAATGGCATTATTACGAAAAATAGCTATTGTATTAACAAATAATGGATAATAATTAGATCATTCTAGATGAACACGGAAATTAGGAGGCCTAAACTGAAATTTCTCTGTCAGGTACAAAAGTTTTTTAGATCTTAAAATGAAAGACAATAAACACAAAGCAAGGTAAATGTAACACTCATGTAAAGGTAAAGTCGATAGTAATATGTAAGTTGGCGTAATGTGATCTGGTTTTTTAACTCCTGAAACAAATCTTAAAGCAACATTTTTACAACGTGATAACTCAGTGCACAAAGTACTAAAGAGATCAAGGGTGACATCAGAACAGTGTGGGAAGACTAGAAACTGTACTAAAGGTAATCTCAATGAACGAGGCAGAGAACTTTCATTTCTTCGAAGTCAGGCCAGTGCTGTGTGGCTTTTTTTGGCAGTTTTGATTGGAAAAGTTCTCCAGGGAAGTGAGTTATTAAGAATAATGACAAGGAACTTAATTGATGCACATAATTAAATAAGTTTGCTATTAAGAGAAGGTGTATTGTTAACAATATTATTAACTTTAACCATATGAGAACAAGAAGTAAACAACGTAGCCTTGATTATATGAATAATGATATGAAACAAGTTATCAATTAAGATAACGCTAAATAATTTCTATATTCAGAGCATAAGCTAGCGCCTCTCACATCAATTACTGTAAACCATCCTCTTGAATAACTATCTTTATTTAATCTCAGCTGTTAAACTTTTCCTTAAGCTTCTTGTTTCTCTTTATGATATTTTGTTCTGCCCAAGGAACCCGTATAGCTTTAAGAGTCAGAATAATCGTATGAAATTAAATGTGAAATTATTAACTTTTTTTATGGCACAAAGTAGGAAAAAAATTTAAGTATTTCATTTCCTACAGGATATGAAGAACAGCGAAATTATTACAATACTATTGATATTTAGATGAACAGTTCAAAAATTCCCTTTACTCCTCAATCTCCTTTATCTTATACACGGTATTATAAAATCTTTACTCTAGTTACTTGAATAAATATAACGTTTTCTTTTTTTTCTAAAATAGTTTTCTTTAATTGTTTGAAAATATTTTCTCTTTTTCTGTTTTTCCTAGCCAATTTTGAAGCAAATAGATTAACTGTGCAATTATAAATGAAAAAATAATAATGCACTAATTATACAATATAGAAACTAGTCATTTATTAAGTTTTTTGCGTAATTAAATACCTTAATTAATGTTTTTTGTCAATAAATTTGTTCTAAGGGTTAGATAATGCACATTGACCAACAAAAAACATTTTTTTTTACATTTAAATTGAAACTGCTTTTCCTCACAATACTATCCATTGTATAAAATTACTATTATCTTCAACAAATGTACGTATATCATTTTTAGTTTTGCATGATATTGATGCTACACATATAAGCAAGTAAAGGTTCTTTTAAAAAATGAAAAAATATTGTTTAAATTTTCTTATGTGATGGTTTGTTTAATGGAACACATTTTTAAACTAGAAAACCATTTTAGTTATATATAAAAGAGGAGATATTAACTGTTATGAAAACTGAAAAATATGGTTTTTATACGAAAAATACATTTTTTCTTTCCCAATCTCTAGTATCAACTTGGAAAAATTCATATCTGTTATGCGAATATTTATAGATAGTATAGAGCGCGCGGTGGCTCGGTCGGCTAGGTCGTGGATTGGCACGCGGAAAACCGTGGTTCGATTCCCGGCCAG